TACTTATGACTGTGTTTGTGCTATACTCGGCACCGAATACTTTTGCCCTGTACTAGCAAAATTATGGTAATGGTCATGTTGGTATTACAAGTAGCCGAATAACTTCCAATAAAATCTTGCATTCCACGAAATGGCGTGGCATCGAGTACCATTTAGTAATTCGCTTACCTTAGCATCAGCTCATTAGTGCACGAAGAAATATTCATTGTGCGTGATATGGATACGGGTTACGTAAATGTAGCAGCGATCGATTGGGATGGTAGGTTGTTTGAATTAGTCATTGGCGGCAAGCGAACATTTTATGGTAGACAGGAGAGCAGACCGAAGCGAATGAAGTGACGCTGTTGGATTTCGAGCAAGCAGCTCCCAGCCAGCTACTCAGCAGCGATGAAAGCCGGTTTCTGCGAACGGGCTACCATTCGTTGCCTCAAATCGGTCAGAGGAAACATGTTTGTGGTGGGAGAGATGGAAACTGAAGCGACGGAAGGACTCGACGAACGGGAAATGCACAATCGTCAGGGTTCAACGATCTGTTCCTGGACAGAAAACCGGTGCGTCGAGCGCAACTGCAAATTTCGCCCAGAAGTCGTGCCACATTCAATCCAGCTGCCTTCGCAACCGAATGCACGCCGACCTTGCAGTTGTAAACTGGTGACGATCACCGGTGGATCATCTTGAATTTTTCGAATACCGGCCATCATGTGACGAATGGTCTTCCAGTGGTCATTCGAGCCCACGCTTCAAGCATTGTTCACCACCGCATGCATGTTCGACAGCCAGAGCCCACCATGAACCACCGCGAGATGTCAAGAAGCTCAGAGTCAGCCGTAGGAAGGCATGCTGACGTCATGAAGTTGGCAAAGAGCTGTGCCTCACGGTTCCTGCTCATTCGCCCTTATTGGCCGGGGCTGGAAAGGAGCATCTACTGGCTGATGACCGTAGGCGTCGTCGTGTATCCGTGGATTAAACTTTACGAAGTCAGTTCTGCGTACGATTGGAGACGCCAACCGACGTACTTCGTAGTCAACCGGTTGTGGGGTTTTGGAGAAAGGCCTAAAGACACAACAGATCTGGAATGGAGCCAGTGGTGCTATTTCGCGAGTCAACTGTTTCCTTACTACTTCATTCACGCAGTGCTGTTTAACGTGGCTTCGAAACTGTTGCCTCAGCGCATCTGGTCTCTAACGATGCTGTTCTACTGGGTGACAGCGTGTTGCATCGTCTTCCACCCATCGTCAGTGATCGTGGTGGTTTCCGTAGGAGCTGTTATGTATACGGTAACCGCGCTAACGCGAAGCATCGCACTCGTATGGATTATGAGCTGTTGCTTTCTATACCTGGTCATGGATATGCTGCCAGAGTTGCCGATAAATAAAGGCATAAGCCATTACGGGGTGATTGCCTTTTTCACGTACAAAATCGTCCAATTTACCAGCTACTGTTTGGACAGCATAGAATCGAAATCGAGCAAGCGGTTCTTCGAAGGCATTTATGAAATGTTTTGGTACTCTTTCTACTACCCGTATTTGGTTTACCTCATCGTACCCTTTAAGCATTTCGCCGAAGGAATGAACCGCAGGAAGGCTGAACAGCAAAACCTGTATCGAGTGGCGTTCTTCGCTCTGCGCGTCCTGTTCTGGTACACGCTGATCAACGTAGGTTTATACTTTTTCTACTTCAGCGCCATCGTGAACAATACGGACTATCTGGACCAACTTCCTAGGGACGCGCTGTGCTCGATCGGCTGCTGCATAGGGCAGTTCTTCCACATGAAGTACGTTGTCATATTCGGGTTGCAAGCGCTGTTCGCTAAGCTCGACAAATTGGAACCCCCTGCCGGGCCGATCTGCATTTCGAGAGTTACGCTTTACAGCAAGCTGTGGCGGTACTTCGACAGGGGGCTGTACTCGTTCTTCAAGGAGTACATCTTCGTGCCAATCTGCCGTCCGTCGTTCTCCGTCCCACGACGTCTGTTGGCGATGCTGCTCTGCTTCGGGTTCGTGATTCTTTGGCACGGTAGTGACCACAACTACATCGTGTGGGTGTCGCTGAACATCGCCGAGATTTTGCTCGAGAACACCAGCAGGGCCATTTACAACATCCCGGCAGTCAAGAGCTGGCGAGAAAGGCACATTTCCGATGGGTGTTTCCGACGCATCCTAGCCCTACTCTGTGTCATTCCCTACACCTTTGGACTATATTCAAATTTTTACTTTCTGAGCACATCGGAAGCCGGATATATATTCGTGAATAAATTTTTCTGGTCAGATACGATTCATCTGCGTTATCCTTTTCTTATTCTGGTGTTTTTCGGTTATTGTTTTGCCAACGTCACAATCGAATTGGATTCCCATTTGGAACAGAAAAAAACGATTATTAAAACAGATTATTTCCATGTTCATTAACAAGTCGTTTCATGTAATGGGAACAGGTGAATGGTGATTTGTGGGCTTCGAAAGGAAGCAGTAAACGATCGTTTCGACTTTTGCGTACCTTCTTGAATGCATGCAGTAATTTTGTTTAAAGTCGGCTCCCTCGATGCCACCTTTGAAGTTTTTCATGAAATTACTACTGCTTCATTTGAAGCTGCTTGGAATCCTATGCTAATCCAGGTAAAGCGTCAAACTTCCAGAAAAAAGTGGCAGGGTAAGTTCCGTAAGGTTATCAACAGTGTAGTGTCCCATAGACACGGTAGGGCGTCTGCGTCCATAGTACATATCATGTATCGCAGTAGGCGTGTATTTCAAGGAAAGAATCCAGCTAAATGTGACACTGTACATAAACTAAAGTTCGTAAATAATTATATTTGGGTGAATATTTCTATTTCATTTTCTTTATATTTCAAGAGTTTAAAACTGACTCAGAGTGTGTGCAGCTAATTTTGAATCCGAGGCAAAATGTTGCTTGCCAAGGGAGCGTGCCATCTGAAGAGCAGGTCAGGCTTGAAGTAACTGTCCCTTGTGCGGATAACGCACTTCAGTTGGTAACGGGATGAATGCTTGTACTGGGAGAGGAAATGGCTATTGAGATGTTAGGGAACATCGCCGGTAAGCGAACTATCTAACAAAATTCATGCTACCTCAAGCTATGCTCAGTGAATATTAAGGTTGCATAAAATCACAGAGTTTATTAGCTATCCTTTTCTCAACGAGCTCGAGTTGCAGTTTCAAATTCCAAATTCCAAGAGGAAATAATCTGGTTGTTTTCGTTAGCAGAAATGTTCTCTGAATGAGGTCGGTTTGTACTAGTCGTTGCCTTGATTTTGCCGGCGGTTCTTATATGTTGAAAGGAAAAATTCTTGCAAGCTTTCTTGCATATCCAAATGTTATTACTCATAGAGTACAATGAATTTTGGCCTCAAATTCTCGACCAAAGCCGGTCATCCATCCATAACTTTGCGCAACCTTTGAAGGTCATTGTACTGTGAAGAAGAGTATGCTCGTAACGGAGAATATGCTAGACTTCTCCGTGCTATGCTCTATTTGAGATTTTGACCATTCTCGGCGACATCGACGAGAGAATGGAGTTTGAAGAACGACGAAAAGCTCTTTGCAACCAATTGAATTGCGCTCTTCTTCACACTTTTAATTAGAATCAAGCAAGACACTGTTCTTTTCTGAAAATTCAGCTTATGGTATAGGTCGCCGTTTTGTTTCGTGGCCATGAATATCATTAGGTCGTATTTCCGGAAGACTTAAGAACGTTTACGGTCCAATGGATTCCAACTCGTAATTCTTAATGTAAAGCGTTGTAGATGCCAAGCAGTACATATGGAATATGATCACGGATGGAGACGTTGTGCATTAATCGCCATATGCCTTTGTGCATGACCACCGTCTTGTTCTCGTTTAAAAAACAGTTTATGAGTTATGCCGACTGAAGATGGATCCAAAATGCCAAAACTCGTTGAAAATCATGGTGATAAAGAATCATCTTTATGCAAATATCTATCGGCAAACGAACCTAAACCTATGCAGAATGCCAGCAACTTATCATATATATTATCATAATTAGAATGATATATTATATCATATATCATTGAGCTTGGTCCGAAACGTCAGATGTCCTTAATTAAAGAACATTTTATCCGTTGTCTTGCCGTTTGTGACTTACCTAAAGATTTTATCTCCTCCCGCATATAGAGATCATGTACTATTTTCAATTAAATCATATTATCATAATCCTTT